TTTTCAGGCTCCCCCTAAAGGCTGCCAGCATTGGGGCATGTCTTATGTCCTTAGGGAGTAAATTCCAGAGTCGAGGGGCTACCACCGAGAAGGCCCTCTCCCTCAGCCCCACCAATCGCGACTGCGAAGGAGGTGGGAGCGTGAGCAGGGCCTCTCCAGATGATTGAAGAGATCGTGTGGGTTTGTACACAGTAATGGGATTTTGAGCTGCATCAAAAGCAGTATAGTGTCCCTATGAGGAGCGTCTTAAAGAACGGCATGGCAATCTGCCAGGGATAGTTTGATTGCGCTTTTTCTGCATGGCAGGGGGTTGGACATGATGGCCCATGTGGTCTCTTCCAACTCTATTATTTTATGATTCTATCATACAAAGTTACAAAATGAATTAAATATATTGCAGTTTTCATATGCACAGAAGCAGCTATGAAGTCACCGTAAAAGGAGGGTGACTCAGTCCTAGTGCCTAGACACCAGACTTCAACCTTTGCCAGAAAATTTGGGGGCTGCACATGCAAATAAGCTGGATACTTCTGTTATATTGTGCTCCAACCATTACCTGCCATGACTGCATTTTTTGAAGATCTCTGATCCCAGTTGTCCTGTGTTTGAACTTTGATGAATCCATGTCATGCAGAGCATGTGCGACAGCATAGACAGCGTTGTAGATGCTGTAGCTGTGGCTGCTCATGCTCATTTCAAAGACAGACATAGGAAGAGTCTCCAGCTTGTCCTCCTCCATGCAGATATTTTCAAGGGACTCGTCTAAATTGGGCCCAGGAAATGAACACACGAATGCTTGTTGCCAGAAGTCCCCAATAAAGCCATCTTCTCCATCTGTGTCTGGTTTTCTGTTCTGCAGAAATTCATGAAATCCTGAAACCTTTTTTGGGAGAAGTGAAACAGATAAAGCCCCATTGATGAAGTTCGGGTTCCAGTCTCTTTGAATTGGGAGCGATGAAAAATCTATTTCAGCTGTCAAAATCCAGACTTTATTTATTTTTGGTAAATCATAGAAAAATGGAATTTCTAACCATATTCTCAAAGCTAGAATTGACTGAACTTCTCCATTTAGGATCACTATATTGGCAGTACTTCTCCCAATGAGGTATGATGTTTCAATAAGCTTCTCCGATATTGTTTCCATTTCATTGAAAAAATATAGCTGGGATGCGGCTTTTATGAAGTCAAAGCAGACACCTTTTTGCACGAAAATGGGAATTACTTCATGTACAAATCTTTGTCCTATTTCATTATCTAGATAAATCACTCCAATCCACGTCCACTGGAAATACAACATTAAGTCGAGAATCCCAGTGTATTGATGGGTCTCTTTTGGGAACATGTGGTGAAAGAAAGCAGCTTCCTTTTTGTTATCCATTAGTGGAGAAGAGCCATACGTGATCTTCAGGGTGAGATATAAGGAGACAATTATTAAATTAGGAAATTACGTCTACTTGTTAAACAGTACTGGTGGATCCGTACTGTTTAAATCACAACAGAGTATTGAAATAACAACACCCCACCGCCCCCCAAAAAAGGAATCAAAAGCAAGGAAAACTAGAGGAAAAACAATGGGTTATAGCAAAGGAATAATCTTAGATAAATATTTTAACATTTCTCTAAAAAAATTCAGCATTTGCACCTCTAAGGTTTGAAAGGAATGCTATTGGTATTGGTATGGTATTGGACTGGTTCAAACATTGTAAGCCTTGATACCTTGAAATAGTGATTGAACATTCATCTCCATATCAATTAAAATGTTAGTCTTCACATTTTGCATTACCTGAATCTCCTGGACCATGTTCAATGTCAACTCAATATGAAATCCATTACTGTAAACCAACTTGGAGGCAAATTCTGTGACCAGGCTATCCCTTCCTAAGAATGGTCAGAGCTAATGAACCAGATAAATCTGGTCAAAAGTAACAAGACTAACTTGAGCCTCAAATGACAATAAAAAGCTAGGGAATCATCATTTCAAGGGGAGTAAATAACTCTAGGGAGTGAGGAAATTATCCTTTTTAGGATACACCGCAGAAATGGAATTTCAGAATTTCTCTAGGATGTGAGGAAATTATCCTTTTTGGATATATCACATACATGTAATTTATGAACATTGACAGGCTTTCAACCATGACAGACTTCATTCTGATGAGTACCGTTTCCAGAAATTAGAAGATAGATATGGGGGGGGGGGGGGGGGTTGATAAAACTCATCACCCAATGATTTTATCCAAGGAAAGTGGGACTTTATGGGACTTCACCGCTCAGATTCAACAAGATTCTATAAAGGCCCATGTATATTATGTAAGGACTCATACTTGGAAGGGGTTTGCTGTATTACTTATAGGATCCAGTGGAAACTTGAGCTATGAGGTCCAAAAATTATAAATGCTGATGCTGTAGCTTGCCCATCCCTAATTTACATGGTACAGGTCATAGATGTAATCTAAGTGACAAAGAAACTGATTTCAACTTGTATCATTTCCAGTCAAATAGAAGCTAGATGGTGATGTGTTGAAAAATATGGTGGAACGGTGAGTTATGAGTTTGTTATTGTTGCCCAAACATATTGGCTACTGTAAGGACACATCAATATCTTTTAGGCCTCCCAGCACTATGCTTTTTCCATTTCTGGTCTGCAGATGACCAAAGCAGAGACAAATAACACAAGTGACAAAAATTGGTGTGTGTGTGTATATATATATACCTGAAACTTCCTATTGTGAGACAATGGGACTTCACTGCTCAGATTCAACAAGATTCTATAAAGGTCCATGTATATTATGTAAGGACTCATACTTGGAAGGGGTTTGCAGAGAGAAATAACACAAGTGACAAAAATTGGAGAATATGTATATATATATATATCCTTACCTGAAACTTCCTATTGTGAGACAGGTGTCTTCCATGTCTATGGGACATTGATTTTAATCAACATTGTCATATTTTTCAGATTAAAATTACACCAGATCACCTGCCCCATTGATATGTAACCCACTAGCTACTACTGCACGTTCCTGCTTTAATAATTTCAGAATCAACTTGTTTTGTTCATACCAGAAAACCCATAGCTAACAGTTATTTTATCCAAGGAGAGAAAGAATGGTAGAATGAAAGACAAGTGAAGGTCTGAACTCACATTGAGGCAATATTTTTCTTAAATTTCTTAGGGCAAAATTAACAAAAAGTAAATTCAGAGTCTGTAGATATTGAATTCTCATTGACATCCTGTTGTTTCAAACTCTTAGTTTTGTGGGTAAGCTTACCTGTGTAAATTTATAGGCTAACAGGATGTCTGCCATGAAAAGACAGACATTAGAATTAGGTCCTCCAATGACTGCTGCTGGGTTGTCCTGGGTGTCGCATATGTAGTTAGGGACAAATTTTCCCCAGGTAGAAAGAAGTTCCAGTGAAGCAAGATAAGTAAAGCCAGCAACAAAATGACTGTTGTAAATGTAGAATCCCAATGTGATGTTGGGTAAGATAAGGGGATTTTCATTGATCTCCTTAATGGCAAAAATCAAGGCCAGGATGTGTTGGTAGTTGTGAGTAAACACTCTGAAACAACAGTAACAGTAGGCTTAGATTTCAGATTAATGCACATTTTCTATCTAAAGAATGTC